TTCATAATAACAGCTTTCAAAACACATTTGTATAGTGCTTCATAATTTTCAAAGTGCTCATAGTTTCTTAGAGATGAACAGGGCACGTGCTCCGTGCCTACTTAACAAACAAGGGCACTGAGGCACATAGCCTTGACCTTGCTCAAGGTCACACCACTGATCAGTCAACACAGTGTGGCCCCTCATACATGAATTCCAGAAATATATAAAGTGACTCGATAGTCATGAAAACACTAATTCCTGGTAAAGAGTAAACAAAGAGGTAAAACTTTGTCATTTGCACACATATACATACCAACCTTGATAAACCCACACACATACACACGCGCGCACACACACACGCACGCACGCACGCACGCGCACACACACACACACACACACAGATGTCAAAGCCATATTTTCAAAATTAATCTAATGTTAAGTATTACAGAAGGGTCTGTCCATTCAGTAGCCAGATTATTGAGAAAAGGTGACCAGTGTGAATTACAAGTTTAAAATATATTTTTTGTCTTACTCATAAAACAGTGTATTAACCACAAAAAAACCACTCACACCAAATCTTTCCTGAGATGAGTCGGCATTCAACATAATTACTGCTAAGTGGAGCAGCACTGCCATTCCTTCCAATGGTGTGTGCTCCTAGAGCACCCAGGGCTCTCAGCCCTGAGCACATGGCGCCCTCTGGTGGCCCACACCTCTGTGATCTGGGTGGAAAAGTCGCTCACTCAGAAGCTTAGAGCACTGACTTCCAAACATTTCTCACGTCTCCCTCAGCGCAGAGATTTTTTCTCAGTAAAAACTATCAATACACACTTATTTATACATTTCTATACATATACTATCATAATAATATTCAATGTAAAACTCAGAAAAAAGAGGTTTTTAAGAATGTAATCTAGTTCTACTGATTCTTCTTGCACCCAAAGGCTCATTTCAAGCACCCATTCTGGAGACAACTGTGCTTTAGAAAGAGCCCTACAGTATGATTTTATTTAAAAATATATCACAAGATAACTTCTGCCCTGGATAAGACACTCTTATTATCATCTTCTCTTGAGAGTCCTGTGGGTAACTTAAGTGTCCACAGGCAAACAGGGCAATAACCCTCCAGTTGGCCAGGTCACTCACTACAAAGATACGCAGTCAGACTAACCACAAAATTGAAGTGGTTTTGATGGCCTTGGTAAAACCTTCACCAGGAAACAATGTACTTTTTAAAAAATTTATGTTATTTTATTTTCCCTGTGAGCTCCATTGCTAGGGAACAATGCACTTTCATTCAACACTTAGTGCAAGAAGTTTAGCGATCCAAAAGACACCTTGAACTTTGGGTCTTCCTACTTTCCTTCCAAATAACTAACTTCTATGCATTAAAAACCTTAGCACTCATGAAGCCTTTTATCTAAGAAAGTACTACAAGTAGACTTTAAGGTTTCCACCCCAAAAGAGCACAGAAACACTCTAACCTGCTCAGTCAACAGAGGATTATAGACTTATAATCAGCATGCTCTACTAACATAAGCATTTCTACTAAGACTCATGAGTTTAAAAAATACATTCAATCTGTTCCTTGCTCTCAACATTCTGGTCCTACTTGACACAAGTAGACTTGAACCATCTCTTTATGAAGCAGGGTGATGATTCACAAATTATTCCAAAAAGAGGAACAATCTGCAACATTTATCAGGTTCACATAAAGTTAGAATAAGGAAAGGTTTTTGGTTGTTGTTTCTGTTGTTTCATGTCTTTTTTCCACATAAGCATTCCCAAAGCATTTCCCAAAAAGAAAAATCAAAGATTCTTAATAATCAGTTAACTAAGGTGTTCTCTGAACATGTCTTAAAACTTACCTCTGTATCCCTAGTGCCTAGTACAAGCTGGATACATGAGACACCTTGCATTGTGAAAAGAAGACAAACTTTTTATTTCCTCCCAAATAAGTTTGAGGGGAAAAAAATTGCAAATCCTATGTTTATAGAGCAGTTCATTAATGAAACACTCTACTGCTAGTAAAGTATAAGATAAAAATTGTCTATGATTGTCAATTTTATGTGTCAGCTTGGCTAGGCTATGGTATTCAGTTGTTTGGTCAAAACACCAGTCTAGATGTTGCTGCAAAAGTATTTTTTTAGATGGGATTAACATTTAAATCAATAAACTTTGAGTAAAGCAGGTTGTCCTCCATACTGTGGGTAGACCTAATCCGGTCACTTGAAGGCCTTCAGAGAAAAGTCTGAGGTCCCCAGAGGAAGAATGAATTCTGCCTCCAGAAAGCCTTCAGACTCAAAACTGCAACGTCAACTCTTCCTGGCTCTCAAGCCTGCCCTTCATATTTTAGATTTGCCAGCCCCCATAGCCATGTGAGTGTATTCCTTAAAATAAAGACCTCTCTCTTTTCTCCCTCTCTCTCATTACAGATATAAATACATATATAAACACACAGACACACACACACATTTTTTTCTATTGGTTCTGTTTATCTGTAGAACCCTAATACATTGTCTGAGGGTTTTTCAAAGACCATGACCACAAGTATTTATGCACTGCCCTCAGCTGTGCTAAAATATTAAAATACATTCACCTTAAGTTAAAGCCAAACCACTGTATGAAGTATAATCCCTAGATTAAGGATATTCTGCTAAAACTAAAATAATGGGGAATTGGGCCGGCCCGGTGGCGCACTGCGCTAGTGCGCCGCTTGGGAAGCGCGGAGGCGCTCCCGCTGAGGGTTCGGATCCCACATACAGACCGGTTCCTGCTCGCTGGCTGAGCGAGGCGCGGGGGCAGCGCCGAGGGTTGCGATCCCGTTGCCGGTCCCAGTCCGGTACGGGGGCGACACTGAGGGTTGCGATCCGTTGCCGGACACGGAAAAAAGACAAAAAAAAAAATAAATAAATAAATAAATAAAATAAAATAAAATAATGGGGAATGATAGTAAAAGGGCCAAGAAAAATCTTTCCAATTAATTTACCTAGGTAAACCAGTACAATGGACATTTCATTTTGATAATGGGGAGCCATTTCTGTCCAACAACAGAATGATTTCAAAGTGCATACGCCTTCATAAGATACAACACTTCGCAGAAAAGAGTTTACTGAATGAGAAAGAGGAAAATATGCTAAGAAAATAAAAAGTGAAAAGAAGAAAAGAAATATTAACTACCTCTTGGTTATCTTTGTTCTGGTTTGCCCAGAAAATCTTATGATAAAGCGTCTCCATTGAATTGCTGGAATCAGTTCGGTCAAAACAGTGACGATCCAAAACTTCCAACGTGTGCAAAACCCGACTAATAGTCACCCCTAGATACAGAAATTAAGCGAGCAGTTAAAGAGACCAAATGAAGCCAGAACAGCATAGTACAAGATCATCATTATGTGAGGCAAAAGGAATTTTTAAAAATTATCATTCTTGGCATATCCTATCAAAGAATTGCCAACAAAACCAAACTTAACATTCTAGACAGCCAGGAACTAAAATGCACAAACTGAAGAATTTCCTCAAAATCCACCAGGTGGCTCTGTCAAAAAGCTGCCTTATTCACATGGAGTGGTTTACAAGAATCAGAAACACGGCATAAAATCCAACATTCAAAAGCACTCATTCTTCTGTTGTGTTCTGTACCTGCTGTTGACTCTTGGCACTTGTCAAAAGACCACCGAACTTCCACTGCCCGGCCTCTTTGTTTTATCTGCTGTTCCACCTCATAAATCCTTGCCCGAACCTGAAAGATAATCGCTTCTAATTAACTGTGCTTGGAAAGCCACAGTGGCAATCTAAATCATGTCAGGTTTTTCTGCATGAGTAGAGTTTCCAACAGTCAACTACAATCTTGACTGAATTGTAGGAAATGCAGCTTGTTGCCCAAGAAGTACATTTTTCAAATGTACATGTGCTTACTGAATGATAGTTTTTAATAATAAATGCTCATAAAAATAAATGCCTGCAAAAAATGTTTACAAGTAAAACTTTGTAGGACACCATTCAGAAAGGTGAAAGTTCTAAAATATCCTCTTTAAGGCATCTTATTAATTAACGAAAACTGCTTGGTAAAAGATAGAGATCTTATCCTAAATATTAGTCACGATTCTATGGTTCAAGCTTCACAAGTCTTTGAAACAAATAACCCAGTACTAATAAGAATATATAACAATTACTTAATGTCACAAATTACTACAAGAGTCGTGGTCACACAGCAGAACTCTCAGTAAGAACTACTAGCAAGAGGATGAAAGCAACTTCATGAACTTCTGTGGTTTAGAGAGGCTAAAACCTTCCCCAAGGTCACCCAGAGAGTTAGGGGCACAGCTGGGAATGGATGCAAGTATCTGAGATGCTAAAACCCAGGCGTGGCCCATTTTGCCTGATGCATCTCAAGAATGAAAACATCCATCAAACCATTGAAATGGAGAGTCTACCTGCTGGTTGAAAGCCGTGTTCCCACCCGGCATGGGGAGGCTGGAAGGAGCCACCTGCAGCAGATCCAGAGGTGAGCCTGGGTTCACACTCTTATTTTCATTTGTGGAATAATTCCACACCAAGGCACTTGGGCAACAGAGAGTGACAGTCTGTAAATGAAACGGGAAAAATCCGGATACTTAGAGGAAGGAGAAAGTGTAATAAAAGCTAAAATGACATCTTGTCATAACTATACTATGGTTTCCTACCAGTGAGTTTAAAATATAAACTCTTATTTTCATTTGTGGAATAATTCCACACCAAGGCACTTGGGCAACAGAGAGTGACAGTCTGTAAATGAAATGGGAAAAATCCGGATACTTAGAGGAAGGAGAAAGTGTAATAACAGCTAAAATGACATCTTGTCATAACTATACTATGGTTTCCTACCAGTGAGTTTAAAATATAAACATCTTACCCCATTCTTTCCAAATGATAACTTTCCAAATGATAAGACAAAAACCAAGAGTCATGAATTTGAAAGGGAGGAAGTATAGCCATAGAGCAATTAAGGAATATCACAATCTATAAATTAATATTCCAGCACAGAAAATGTAGGAGACAATAAAAATGCAGCAATCATCACTTAAAGCAAATTTTTCATGCAATTAAAAAATGAGATGGAATTAGAATATGTAGTTTTTAAGGCTATAAAATATGAAAAGGAATTATTTTTCAAAAAATCTCTCAAATGATGGAGCAATAGCTTCATAAATGCAGGGCAAGCAGTTACCCTGGGGCAGGAGTTGGAAAGCTTTTTCTATAAAAAGCCAGATTGTATATGTTTTCAGCTTTGCAGGCCACCAACAGTTTATCACATATTCTTTTTGTTGTTTTATTTTAACAACCCATTGAAAATATAAAACCTCTTCTTGGCTTGTGGGCTGCATCAGGTCTACAAACTAGCTTGCCTACCACAGCCCTGGACCCTCACAGACATAAGTTTTGCTCAACCAGCTTGCACAAAGTGCTTTACATGATTATCTTGCTTATGTTACAACAAACCCATGAAGTAGGCGGTATTATTCTCCAATTTTACGAGACAGGAATATGAGCCACAGAGATTAGTAACTGGCCCAAATTTGACTCCGGCACACATGCTTAGAAACACTGTGCTTTCCAGCTCTCCCTTCAAATGTAGATTAAATATTACACAGTACATTTAATTAAGCATTTACTCTGTGCTGAACACTGTCCTGGAAGCTTTCAATCATTATAACCTTAATCCTATGACTAGGAACTGTCATCATTCCTATTCATATATGGGGAAACAGAGGCTCAAGGTTACGGTTATTAAGTGGCAGGGCAAGACTTAAAACCAGTTCTGTTATGATTCTAAAGTGTATGTCTTAACCATTACACTCTCATGCCATTCAACAGCAAACTATGTGAGCTCAGAGAATGAATGCAATATTTCTTCTTCCAAAAACATGAAATTAAATATAAAAAACTAAATTGTGAGGTCTAGGGTAGGTACATCTTTGTAGAAGCCAGACGACAGCTGTGAAGAATGTCACCAATACATCCATCTCCATTGGCCCACGTCCCTACCCGATTCCTGCTGCCCATGAGGATGTGAGCTCGTCTCCTGGCCATGATGGAGACCTTGCTTGTGTTCTTGATTCCAAAGCCTCCCATATCCAGGGCACTGATCTATCAAACACCCCTCCTCTCTCCTATTCTCAGACTCTCATATCCCTCTATAAATTCACCCTTAGTTTAGGAATATGTTACAATCTGCTTATTAAAAAACAAACAAAAGAAAAATTTTTTGAATCTCTACTCACCCAGCAGCCATCTCTACCCCCTATCCATTTTCTTCTCTTCCCTTCATAAACATGTTTCTCAGAAAAACAGTACCTCATTCTCCATCTCCCCTCAACCCACCTTAATCTGGCTTCTTACCAACCATTCAACTGGAATAGCTCTTAACAAGATAATCAATGACCACCAATTTGTTAAAGACAACTTCAACCATCTTAGCAGACTTCCCCAATATGCTGGGCGCTGCCCACTACTATTTCCTTTCTGAAACTTTCTGCAGACCCCAGTTCAGCAGAGTGGTTATACATTCTGGTTCCAGACCACCTGACTTTTAATTCCAGCGTCACCACTTTCTTGCTCTGTGACCTATGGCACCATTTTATTCCTATCTCAAAGGCTGGTCCTGAGAACTAAATCACTAACATACGGTACAACTTAGAACAGTGGCTAGAACATAATAAATGCTATTAATGTAATAAAATTATGACAGCATTACTGCTATTTTCACCATCTTTGTTTGTGCAACGATTCCTCTCCCTATTGTTTTTCTCTAGTCTGGCCAACCTTCCTGGTCTCCTCTGTGGACTTTCCTTCACCCATCTCTTAACCACCCACGTCCCTCAGATCTATAGTCCTCCCTCACTACAAATTCTTCAATCTCCCCACCTCTTGTGGGTCTGATCAGCCATGGGGACCTGAATGTTTCAAATCCACACATCTGGCCGACTGTCTGCCCTAATCTTCAGAATTGGACATGGAACCACCTCTTGAACATATCCACTTGGAGGTCTTAAAGGACAAAAGAGTCCAAAATAATCCAAAACTGAACTCGCCTAGGTGCTTCCAAACTGATTTCTTTGCCTTGTCTCCCTCTTTTTCACCTCCCCACTCCCACAAATTCCCTCTATTGTGATCAAAATCTAAGCTACACAACTGACCATGTCACTTCCCTGAATAAAACCCTCCAATGACATCTCAATTATAGGCTCACAGAGGGTCTTCTGTGCCCTGGCCCACAACAGACCTTATACGTTATACTCCATTAACACCAACCTACACACAAGATGACGGATTAGCCCTTTGGGCCTTTCCCATGCTGTTTCCCTCTTCCAGGAACACCCATACCATGTCCATGTACTTGATTTTTTTTTTTTTATAACTCATGTTATGAGAACTAAAATACTTCTTTCAGAAAGCCTCCCTTAATATTTTTATCATTATTTTTTTACATTCTAAGATATTGTTGCAGAGCACTTGGGGGAGGGGGAGAATAGGAAGGGAGAAGGAAGGGGGCCTAGTCAAGGCCCATGGCACCCCCCCTCATTCTGACAGGGGAGACCAGGGGGCTTCCGGTGGTGGCTCAGTCATTGCTGGGCTAGATGCGGACACTGGGGGGACATGGCTGAGGCCATTGGCCCTCCACCAACCCAGCTCAGGAGCCCAGGGCAGTTCAGGTGGTGGCTCAGTGACCATCACTGGGCTGGTTGTGTATGTTAGGGAGGTGTGGCCAAGGCCCTCGGCCCAACAGCACCCCTGCTTGAGAGCCTTGGGTGCTTCTGGCAGCAGCTTTGTATCCTTACTGGGCTGGTTGCAGGTGTCAAGTGGTTGTGGCTAAGGCCCTCGGGCCCCCATCACCCCAGCTTGGGAGCCCAGGACATTTCCACTGGTGGCTTGGTGGTCATCGCTGGGCTGGATGCTGTCGTCGGGGTGGTGTGGCTGAGACCCACAGCCCTAACCCTCCCCAGCTTGGGAGCCCAGGAGACTTCAGTCCTCCTAGGTTTTATAGGTATTCTTTGGTGGTGTTAGACCTTTACTGGTTAATATCAAAACTTTCTCTGGTCTGTGGGTATTTTGTTTTTCCTTTCAGTTCTGTGTTGGATTACTTACTATTCCCACCACTTAAACTCTGCACTGGAACTAATTTGTTGTCCTTTGTTTACTTCTAAAACAGGGGAACTTCCTAAGGGAACCAGTACTTGAGCTCTGTGGTTGAGCTAAATTGCAGCTTTGCTGCTGATTCTCTGGGGAAGGCTTCTGGTGCAGCTTAGGTTTTAATTGTTGACCTTGTAAGCACTTCCAGGCATCGTGAGGTCTGGTACATCCCGGTTATGTGGAAACTCTGGTCTGGGCCTGAGTCTTTTCAGCAAACTGTACCCCATGCGGTTCTATATTCCTGACCAGTCTCCACTCAGTGGTCCTATACTGATTGGGGGCAGATCAGCTGTCCTTGCTGTGCCCCAGTGTTACCCTGATGGGCCCGTCTCCTTTACCCCCCAGACTCTAAACACTTCCCACGGGACAGGCCATGCACCAGTCCCTTGTGATGACTCACTAGCCTCTGAGTGGCTCCCTTTTTTCAGTTGTTGTGGCTCCTCACTCCTATGTGGGTCCACGGGAACCCTATTAGTGGTCTTGCTGCCTGGGGGCCACCAAGACCCTGCTCTCCCCTGCAGCCTCCAAGCAACTCCACCCGAAGGGCACCGCTGCAGCTTTTGCCAGCTCTTGCTCTGTGTGCTCAGCAGGGCCAGCCTTGAAGTGGTTGGGGCTCGAAATGGTCAGAGCGGTCCTTTCGTTCTTTCATCATGGCTTCTCCTGCCTCATGCACTCGGTAGGTCTCTCCTCCTCTTCCCCTGAGCTCTAGCAGCCCAACTTGACTGTTGTTACTTTTTAATGGTTGTAAATTGGATGACTGTGGGAGAGGGTGAAGTTGGGGACCATCTATTCCGTCATCTTGACCACAAGTCCCGAGTCCCTCCCTGAACTTTCGGTTAGGCTAGAAGTTTCCCTTTTCAATTGCCTAAGCCTCAGTGCATCTCTCCATCAGCACTTGTCACATTATATGAAAACTGTCCATTTATGACCCTGTCTTCCTCAAAAAGAACCCAGTAAACACTACCAGAGTAGAGACCATGTCTTCAGGGTCAGGCCTGTTCCAAAGCCCCTTAGTAAAGAATAGGACACACTGAGAGCTCAAGGAATGTGAACTGAACACTAAACTGGGAGCTCCCCTAGGACATGGCCATATCTCAGTCCAGACAGTACCAGCCCAGCAACCAGCACATTACTGGATGTTCAAGGACCACACAAGCAATAATGCTCTGCAGATGACCAGAGCTTGATAAATAATTTAGATTTTAAAGAAACAGAGAAAGGCAACCAACTTATGATGTGAATGGAGGAAGATAAAGAATGTAGCCTGGAGCAGCCATCCTTCCAAAAGAACAATAATCCAGCTGACGTATTCTGTGGGTTCCCTGAAGGATTTTTAATTGAACTGCTTAGTGACCTAGTAAAGGACAGCTACATAATTTTATTCTAGAAAGAAGCAACAAATCTCTCAGTTTGAGCCAACATAAGGAAACACAAAATTTCAATCTATAAATTACTTGGGTGAGGAAAAAACTGGAGGTGTCAAAGTTCAACTAGAAAGCAGAAAAGGCTATTCCCAGCTCGAATGCTTCCCACATTGAATTTTAACATAATATAACAAAGGCCTAGGACTTACCTGCAACATACAACTAAGTCCGTAAACCAGGGGACCATGCTGCTCACAGGAAAGAAAATCAGAGAAGGCCAGCTGCACAGGGCTCATGCCGGGGCCAGGGGGACCAGGGCTGGGCGCCCCAATGCTCGAGCTGTTTGGTCCTATTATCATGTGTGGTGAGTGGGCAACAAGGAGGTTGGGACTATCACTCAGCAGCAAGGAAAGACGCCGGGCACAGAAGTAGGCAAGACGACGAGACAGGTAGGCCGACTGGACAAACTCATCTGAATACTGGCAAGAAAAGGGACACCAGATTTCAGTCATGTCTTCTGTGTCTTACTTAAGTAACTATTTTAACACAGATTTTTTTTAATTGAAAAAGGGGGGAAAAACTTCGAAGATATAAACCAGTGCTGTCCAATAAAAATATAATGGGAGACACATATAATTTAAAATTTCCTAGCCATTAAAACAATAAGGAGGCAAAAATTAGAAGAATAATGTATTTTATTTAGGCCAATATATCTAAAATGTTATCATTTCAACATGTAATCAACATAGAAAGTATTAAATTATATGCTTTTTCACACTAAGTCTGAAATCCGGTGTGCACTGTATAGTTAGAGCACACGTCAATTCACCGTGGTCAAATTTCAAGAGCTCAACAGCCACATCTGGCTAGTGGCTACTGTAATGGGCAGTGCAGGTACAGACTATCTCAGGGAAGATACACAGGCCCCAGTATGGTGAAGTGTCTGGGGAGGGTACCAGGCTGAGAGGGAGAATCATTGTTCACTGGATACTCTTTCATACTGTTTGAATTATCAAATACATGTACTACATTTTCAAGAAATTTTTTTAAATAAATCTTATCCATATAACAAATTTTTAACAGATGTTAGACCAATCATCAAAATAAGAAGTTTCCTACCCCAGATGCTCAAAAAATTTTCAAAAAAATGTAAAAGATCTTCTATGTTCCTAAAAAGACACGATTTGTTTTGTTTTCATGGAAATCTGTATTATTATATGAAGACAGTATTTAAAGAGAGGTTTGAGGGGTTTGCTTAGCTCAGTGATGGAAGAAATCAATGTGGGTGAAGTTACTTAGAAAGGACATGTGGATAAAAACCACGAACATGATGAGTACAAATGACTGCTCAAACTTATTAGAAGACTCATCACTTCACAGGCTGTAGCATCAAAGACATTTTTTTCCTTCCATCACAACAGGAATTTTTTTCCCTTTCCACCTCTACTTACCTAATCATTCTTATCAGACTCATTTGTTGCCCATAAAATCAACTGGCTCAAGGTGACATGTACTGTACCTGCAGCATTAGTGGTAACAAGAGTTTAAGAAGATCATCATCCATTGGTCTGATCTTTTCTAAAACATCCAGGATCCATGTCAAATATTCATGTTTTTCTAGCATTCCTTCCTTAAATAAACAAAGAAAAATTACACTACTAATGTTGAAGAAAACCTACCTAAATTTTTAAAATGGCACTACCCTCCTTATGCATACGTAGAAGTTTACTATCGTTGTTTCTGTTGTAGTAAAATACAGTCTCATTGATCATGGTCCAAATACTAAACAAAAGAGGGAAAACTAGTTTTTTTGGTATGCTGGTTTGGGGGGTTTTTTGTTCTTGTTTTTGTTTTTTGGTAATTCACTTCACTTGAAATTGAAAATAACCCCAACAAGAAAGGAAATTCAGAAGCTTTCACACCCTGAAGACATGTCAAACCCCGGGTTAGATTTTGGAGGAGTATGAACTCATGCTCACAGGAGGAAATTTGGCTAATGGCGATAATTACAAAGAAAAGCACTGCTCATACCAATCATCTCAACAAAAGTTTGAAAATCCCATCAGACTCAATGCCCCCTTAATAGCCTCCTTTACTATCCTGAAGTGAGGTTCAGATACTATAACCTACCTATAAAATACAAGACTACTTCAAAAAGTTTGTAGAAAAATTGAATTAAAAATAGTAAAAATCCTTTCATGAACTTTTTGAGGACCTCTCGTATAACCTTATAAATCAGTGACCTAACTGTAATGTAAAGAAATGAAAAGAATTTATGATAAACAATGTAAAAATATTCTAAAACAATTCCACTAAAAAATAATGTTAACCCCATAACTAACAAATGCTCCACAGGACAGATATAGCCCCTACTGAGACCACTGATGCTGATGTAAGTTCCATAAACATCTTTCATCTACTGCCTTCACATGCATACAAGTAGACACATTCCTTTATGACATTCTATATATATATATATATATATATATATATATACACACACACACACACACACAAGGAGTCTTCAAAAAGTTCATGGAAAGATCTGCATTATCTTTCAATTCCCTTTTTCCTCAAATATTTTGAAGTACCCTCATTTATATTTGATATCACACTATAGTAGTTTTGTATTATGATTCACAGAATGAAAGAATCATCAAGATAGAAACAAGAAGCTATGTTTTCTGGGAAAGACACACCTTTATAGTCATTCCAGTAAAATGCTTAGTATTTAGTTTGAAATCCTATTTTGTTCCTAGCAACTTTTAAATGTCACCAGTGGTCCACTAAAATGGTTATCAACAATTCATGTGAAAATATTATACTAATAAATTATAGCTGCAGTATTTAAAAGATTACAGTGACACCACATTGACATGACCTGATAGGTGTTTACTTGTTGCTAATTTCTAGTTTTAAAAACTAATTTAGAGACAAAATGGGTTAAACTTATCAACGATTCATGTGAAAATATTATACTAATAAATTATAGCTGCAGTATTTAAAAGATTACAGTGACACCACATTGACATGACCTCATAGTGAGGTGTTTACTTGTTGCTAATTTCTAGTTTTAAAAACTAATTTAGAGACAAAATGGGTTAAAAAGTTAGTAACAGAAAAAGTACAATTTAAAATTTTAAGACCGGTAAAATGAACTTTAAATTAATAAAGAAATATATATAATTTTTGTCAATTTTAAAAAATTAAAATGTTTTAGAAAGAAATGAATAAAATGGAACTTTACATTAAGGTATAAGAGATGGTAAATGTGAGGTTCAAAAATAAAAAGAATCTCCATAAACATAATGGTCCACTTTCCAACTGCTTTCATTTACGTATGCCCTTGTTTCTGCACATGTATGTCTCCATGTGTATGTATGTACGAGGGTCTGTTCACATCTCATAGTATGGCAAATCAAAATATAATGAACTTTTAAAATTGAACATTGTTTCAGTTACATTCATCACTTTAGGACCTAACTGCTTTTTATAAAAGAGATACTTATTTCAATGTTCCTAATATATAAAGTAATTCTTCCAAAAATATTAAGCATGCTGAGAGGTACTTTTTCCAAAATGTAGAGTAAATCCTCAGCTCAGTAAAAGTCACAAAATCACAGCGCGGGCACTGTAGTAGTCCTTTTCCAAATGTAACTAGAATTTTTAAGAGTTTTTATTGACTTAAAAACTAACAATGTTACTTCCCAAAAGGATCATGCTTTTCCCTACTTTGAGCTCACTTACCACCTGAAAATTGTAATTAAGGTTCTAAAGGGAAAATTTAGAAACCACACATCCCTCCCTCTCTGATCAAGATAGCAAATACTGAAAGTCTGTGCTAGTAATATGACTCCACTGAATACACCTCTCCTTCCTCTTTACTAGGAATATCAATGCAAATATTAGCACAAGTGCCCTCTTCTGGCCAACATTATTTACATCAGCTTGTCTGGGCAAGAGTTCAGTCATTCCTCAAAGTCCTTACCCCTGCCTCAACTCTGTTTGCATTTTAAACTGCAGCTGAGCCAAATTAAGATGAACTTTCTGTTGGATACCTCAGCTCTAAAGGAGATCTGTTATGATATAGGAGGCATCACCACAAAAGTATTTTTGAATAAATGCACCCAATTTTGCAAAATAAAAGGTTTAGAAAAATTATATTTAATAGTGCCATTAAAAAGTAATTAATGGCACTAAAAGAGCTGACACGATTGAAAGCTGGAGATCAATATGTATAATAAACTGTCATCCAGGGCAAATGTGCTACCCTGAATACAACTCAATGTGAGAAACATTAGACTGATTCCTTCGAATGTACTGGTTCATATAAAGAGTCAATTTGCACCAAGGTCCAGCAGCCAGGGGCAGGCAAGTGGCCCATAGAGACACTGGAGGCAGGAATCTCACTGCTTTAAGTCTTTGATGCCAACACAACTGCCAAACCCATTGAGTTTGGGGACTGCCCCAGTGAAGCCCTGCTGAGTGTGGGTCTGGAGCTGGCCAAGAGCTGGCCCATGCACCGGGGGCAGACACACATGCATTCATGTACATAGTTAGCCCAGGCATGTCTCCACACTGCACTCTGAGGAGCTGCAGGGCACATCCCAGCGAGGGGCCCTGGGCCTTTGCACTTGAGCTTCCAGTGGGTCTGTGTACAGCTGGGTGGATGAGCAGGTAGAGGTAAGTGCTAGACCAAAGTGACAGGACACTAGGTTTCCAGAAGTCTCCAGCTTGATGGCCTAGACAATGTGCCCTCCCCTTCCAGCCTCACCCCATCCTCCTGTGGGCATTAAGTGGATGTCTGCGGCAGGTTGCTGAGTGCCTAATCCTGATTTTCTCAGCTGGGAATGTGCCAAGTGACAGGTGAGCAGAATGTGGGCCCCCTGTGCAGCCCCTCCCAGAGCAGCTGGGGGTTCTGGAGCCTCTAAGCCAAAGAGTCCATTAACTGTGGTCGGTGGGGTTGGGGGTGTCGTGCTTCAACCAGACAGGCGTGGTGTGCTCTGCAGCCCTCCCAGCGTGTGGGTGAGTGTTGGGCCTGGACAGGGCCCAGCTGCTAGAGGGAGGGTGCTGTGAGGCCTGGGACCTGAAGCCCAGAGTAGGTGGTGTCTTCCTGTTTACATTTAGCTGCTGTGGAGTCGAGTGCACATTTCCTTGCGCCTCTGTGTCCCAAGCCCACCTGTTTACATGTGTGTCGGAGGTGGGATCCCTGCCCAGCCCCCACCCTGAGAGCCTTCTGTCCATACAGAGTGGTGCTAGTTCTGCCCACCTGGACCATGCCTACCCTGCATGCCCCGCACAGTCACCCACATGGCCTGGAAACAAGCAATGGCCATTATCCCTCGTCCAGGACTCCCCCATCCACAAGCTCCACCCCTTGGGAATTGCTGTACAATTTTTTTCTATTCACAAATTCGTGTTCCTTCCCACATTGAGTTCTTTTGCCCACCTTTGACTTGGGATTGGTAACTTATTTGTTTGGCTTCTCAGAGATATCTCTCTGTACATTTGTTCTCATATCGTCTCATGAATGTCTTTCAGAAAATGGTTATTTTATAGGATTTGACATTGAATTTGTTCTAATAAATCATTCTTCTATCATGTGGCAGCAAAAAAAGATACAATTTAACCCCCTGACAACCCAACTATCAGGAATTTGCTCTCTCCTTAAAATCATGCCACACAGCCTTTCACATCTTGGAAAGGTTACCTGGAACATGTGAAATGCCAGCTTCTCATTGTACTCCCATTGCTTCATGGCTTGCTCCACCTCCGGTGGCACAGGGACAGGGCCATCCCCTGTGCTGCAGGCCATGTGGTAAAAGTCAGAAATCTTGGCCAACTGCTCTCGAAGGTATCTGGTAGATATTTGTGTCCACTCTGCATTTAAAAAAAAAAAAAATCTTAACTTCTAGACACAATGGGTCTAAGAATTACACTTTTTGTCCTTTGTTCTGATTATCTCGAGGATGTACTTATAAAATAAACATCTACTCCATAAAAATGGTTTTTGTACATGCAAGCAGTGCTCAGAAAAGTATACCAGCGCAAGCCCTTCCATATGCACATGTGCGTAAGGCAGCCTGCCCGAAGCAGCCGGCAGGAAACTGACTGGCCAGCTCTGGGCAGGGAAACCCAGCTCCACCCTTGGGCGTATGTAGCCCTTAACTGAGGAGAAGAAATGTTCACACTCGAGTTAGGTCCATCTAGTGATCCTCCTTGTTAAACAACAGTTAACACACCAAAATATCAAAGGCAGAGCAGAAGAGAGAACAACAGAGGTGAGCACTTCAAGAAACCTCAGTTCTACACCCAAAGAATCCAAAATCCCCCAAATGCAGCTCTCTGAAGGTCCAATTTTCAGGCTCCATGTTAGGCTTCAAACATGCCTGATTAAGATTTGTGGTTTTTGTCAATCTGTAAAAGGTGGAAGTCCAGCCTGCACTGCCCCCAGTACAGGGACAGGGACACAGGCACGGCTGCCCTCCTGGACAACCATGTGGACCTTCAAATACCCTCCGCAACCGATACTAGATCAGAAATCAGAAAGGGTGACATCAGAGAGGGTGGAGGGCCACGAAAGGTAGGAGACTGGAAGGAAAAGGGAAAAGGTAGCATCAAAAAAAAAAAAAAAAAATCACTAAAATTATTCAAAATGTCTGCCACAGGGGCACAAACGCAGTCTGTTGCCTCTGGCAACCACGAGGGATATGATGCCAACTTTAGCCCATTCTTGGATAAAAATGTAATAACTGCATGCTCACAGCCAAATTTCCCCAAGGATGAGTGCAACAGTATTTCAGTAGAAAGCCTCCCACTGAAACATTACCAACAACACGATTTTCCCATTATTTGGCAATTCTGCCACCCCCCATTTTGACAAAAGTAGAAAGGGTAGAAACTAAACATCTGTTAATAATTGAGTGTTGTGTCTTTACTTTTTGAGTACTCTTAAAATTACTTGACAACAGAACCTACAGATAATTACTGTTAAGTTTTGGTCTAAACCACTTATTCTAATTGTGTCTCATTTAAAATTAAAATACATACCAGAGTTGCTGAACTCCAGTAATAAACCAATGCAGGAAGATGAACACATACTAGGTCATCATCCTGTTCTTAGTAGTTAGCAGTTTTTCAGAAAGCACAACTAACAGATATTACCATTAAAGTTAATCCATTGGCATTAAAAACACAAGAGCAAGCTATTAATATCATCATCTTCTTGTGCCCTTGTTATGGACTAACAGTCTCATGACACTCTCTTGTTCAACAAAACAAAATACCAACCATCCGATGAGCCCAGTTTAACTTAGCTATAACGAGCAAAAACAAAAATAACAAGGATCCAAATCCTAGCTTTTGTATGCCAAGCTTGCTATTAATTCACTGAGTTTAGTACTATTCTCAATATCGCCACAGAATATTTTAGCTTCAAGAGATAAAAATTAACACACACAGTCACATACCCCTACTCTGTGTAGGGTATATCCTCTTTTTAAGACTGTTTTTTAAAATATAGGAGAAATGCGTGTTCATTACAGAAAGTGTATAATGTAGATATGAAAACAAAAGAAAAACCATCTGTAATCCCATCACCATAATCAATAAATGTTTTAATATAGATCTTCTCGTCTTTTTTCTTCAGGTGTGCTCAAATATTTTTATAAATTTTTGCATATCTGTTTTCAAAAATTGCTGAGTATACTATTCCACAAACTGAATTCCTTTGGGAATCCACAAATGTAGCCCTCTTAGCACTGTGTTTTAACTGTATTTAACTGCCATGAAGTTACATCAATCACATCAATCAGGTTTAGGACATAATACACAGTGTGGATTAGGATAAAAAAATTAGGAGGCATGTAAAATAGTCATTAAAATTGAAAACAAAAAATAACACATGGCCACTAGTACTGTACTCCTTAAAAGTACTAAGCACTAGTACTCCTCTCAAGTTTAGGGAATGAATGGTAATGAAAGGGGAGTAATGCAGGCTCGGTGGCAAGATGGTGACTCTGAACTCAGGCAGTGGTTCTAAACCCCAGTGCACAACACAACCACAAGGGACCTGTGACAAACAGGTGATTTCATTGGTCTGCAGCAGGAACCCAGTTTCAGGTGATAAAAAGAAAACAGGAATGAATACAGATCCTAGGGAAGATGGGGAGAGGGTTCAGAGGTAGAAAATATGCAGAAAGTGACCATAGAGGCAACTCTGGAAGTACAGCAGTTCTAAACTCATGCAACTCAGAGGATATGGACTCATGTAGCTCCTTGATGTCGAGTAGAACTTAAGGTCCAGAAAGCCAGATTACTAGAAAGTTTATGAACATGAATGTTACTGAGAACGGTGTCAAGACTGAAAAGACTAGGGTATTTTCAACCATGTTCTCCCTAGCATCCAAGAATCCCAGAGCCACAATTTCTTCTTTGTTAATTCTTAACCCTAAGAACAGAAGGGGGTTTCAGAGGTCGTACAGTCCAGCCTACCATCTTACAGATACAGTCACTGTGACCTTGCTTAAGGACACACAGCTAAACCGGTAGTACAAAAAACAGGTGTGAGATGCCCCACCCTAGTAAATGAAAACACGTAAATTAATAAACACAAACTAAGTGAGGGCAGAGATGCACCACTTTACATAAAAGTAATAGATCTGCAACATAACCAGCACCATATTAGACAAGCCCAAGTACAAAATGGCACCGTCCACCTCCTCCCCCATTCTCTTTTACAAGAAGCCTCATGGTTTCGGAGAAAATGAAACTTTTGGTGTTTCCACATGCACAGAACTCTCCATTCTCATGACCTAACTCAATCCCCACCCCAGAATTACATCACCCGGCTCTTGGCGCTAACATACCTATATAAGCTCTACCACCCCCACACCTGGGGCTGTCCCCCATTTTCAGGGCAGCTCCAGGCTGTCCTCCATTTTGAGTACAGCTGGCAGATTTCTTTCTTTAATAAAGCTTGAACAGCACCCGGCATCTTGGCTCACTTTCTTCCATTATGGTGCTGAAACCCGGGAAGGGTTTTGGCCAACATTGTGGATGATCCCCTCTCTCTTGGGGTGATTGACCCTCGGCCGCCCTTCCGGACCTGCCAAAACCGGATGCCTCCAGGACTCTCTACTTTTGCCATTTTAGACCAATGCTTCCAACACTGGCCTCAATTCAGGGTTAGTCAGTGGGTCTGTCCTGCCTACTTCTACGGGTTCCCCCGACTACTCTCTACAACTCCATTCTCTACGAACCCCAGGCACCTGGCCGAGGGAACTCTTCTCATGACCCCCAGCTACTGGAGGATGCTCCTCTATCCAGTCAGTGGCTTTTCTCTCAAAAAGAAGGTGGACAGCAGGGAGGACACTCTTTGCTGGCATGCTTCTTCTACCAG